AAGAAATGTGTTTAAAAATATAAATGGAACTTGCATGTATTTGGGGAAAACAGGTCTGAATGGAAATTTCAAATGATTTACATCTCTCCTGCCAGATCCTCAGCTGGTGTAGGTCAGGGTCATCAAATTCAATGGAGCCCTGCCAGTTTACACCATCTGTGGGTCTGACCCCTACAATCTATAAAACTATTCATGACAGTATGGATAACACTGAGGATACATACTTCTATAAAATCAGAAGGGTCTGGCAGGATCATGATTCTACAGCTATACAGCTCAATATCATACCAGTATATGATTGATTATTAGCTGGTATATGTACTGCGTTATATGTACAAGTTGTTGTACTTTATATACAACAGAGTCACCCTCTCAATATGGCAGGCTCATCGTGCAAGCTCTCTAAATGCAGAACTGCCATTGGCTTCAATTGGAATTCTGTGTATAGAATGCCTGCAGAATTAGGCCCAAATATCAGAGAAGTTGTGTGAGTGATACCGAATGGATTTGCAATGGTATGCTGTTTGCTTTCAAACAAACTTGATCAAAGACTAAATTCCAACACAGGATAGTGTTGCTTTGCTTGCAGAGAAAGGAGCATTTCAGAAATTTTAACTGTGCTGTCATTTGGTGCCAGGGCAAACAAACAAAAATAGTACTGAAGTGTATAAGTTGGCCTTTAAATGAAAATGCAGAAAGATCCACTGAAATGCTGAAGCTCTTAGCAAGGAATACATCAATTCCTCATCTCTGCCTTCACTAATAAAAATTCACTACAGTCAATCTGAATTACTGTAGAGGATTTCAAGGGGAAAATAGAGGTTAACAAGGGCAAAAGAAAACTCACAAACAAAATATATTCCTGGAATTAAAAAAAAAAGTAGTCAGGAATACATGAAAAGTTGATTTCACACAGAATTAGTGGCAAACAGGGCCGGCGCAACCCATTAGGCGACCTAGGCAGTCGCCTTGGGCGCTACAATTTGGGGGGCGGCAACCGTGGCGATATTTCGGTGGCGGACCTTCCGCTGCCTCTGTGGGGAGCGGCATTTCGGGGCGGGACCTTCCGCCACCTAGGGCAGCAGAAAAGCTGGCGGCGCTCCTGGTGGCAAATGGAGAGCAGCCTCTGTTTAATCTGAATAATAAACTTGAATCTCTTCTTAGTGTTCACATCCAATCTGTTTTCTAAGCATAGTATCTCCTGGTGTGTTATTGTAACACAAAGCACATCCTTTTTGCTCATTACTGTTAATTATAGTGAAAAACTACGATAATTAACTGCAGTACAGTGTAACTGGATGAAATGTACATAAACCAACCCCTTCATAGACACCGTTATATATCCTTTACTGTCATCTTTTACAATAACGTTTCCTTATAATAAAATGTTATGAGTGTGGTAATTAAATTATTACACTGCTTCTTATATTCCTGTTCCCTCCTAATACAGATTCCATGAGCTACTAGACCAGTTGCCGGAAACAATGGCAGAGATACTTTGAATTGAGCCTAATACAACAACAAAAGGGCAATTGTCTTACTATGGCACTCCAAATTATTCACATGTAGAATTCTTGTGGTGAATTATTAAGAATTTCTTTTCTTAGCTGTTGTCCCACTCCCAGTATTATTGGAGTGCAAACATTTTTCAGCATTGCGCTGAACCTTCCTTTCTTGCTTTCCAAACTAACTGGCCTTAATCCTCTCTCTGTGACATTAGTCATTCTCAGAAAGCCTGATGTCCCAGCACTGTCGACTCCTCAGGGCAGGCTTTGCCTATCCTTCTTTAAATCAAAATCAGCACGGTCTTTAGCCAGCATTTTGAACTGGATCTGAACCCACTTCTGAATGTCAGTTTTGCCAACTCCCTCCCCATTACTAGATGTCACCAGCTTCCACTGACATCACAGGCACAGTATCTGGGCCTCTTTGCAGGAACCAGCAAGTTCTTGTTCTCTTTTGCAGATATTGAGAAGGAAAACTGCTATAGCTACATGGAGGGCTGAAACATGCCATTTGGAGTTCAGCTGAACATGAAAGCTCCCCTTTCATAGCATCCTTTGTAAGTTTGCCATGAACTGTGGCAGATTCTGTACTTGACACCCTCCCTTATTCCTCTTCCTTTGATCTTAAAAATTATCCAATCTGAGTGCAAGGCAGGTGAGAGCTACTAAGAGGTTTGTATAATATTTAATACAATTGGGAGAGAAGCAAGAGCCACATATCTGAAATAACTTTAGGGTGAAGGATTCTTTCACTTAAAAGAAAAATGAGTGATGTGAAGATCAATGTAGAAGGTAAAGGACTTGGTATAATAGGACTGTATATTTTCCTTCTGCTCGTAAGTATGTTTTGCCAGAGTTTCTTTCAAAAGGCCCCCTACAAAAACAAAACAAAATGCACACACACCCCAGGCAACCAAACAAGCCTTTACTTCCTAATCTTCCGAGCCTTAAACTCTTCAGATGAGCTAAAGAAATGATCACAGCCTGATTCACCACGGTGTTACTCCATCAAATTCAATGGAGTTACACTAGCAAATCGCAGTGGTCAATCAGGTCCTCACACTGCACTGTTGTCATATCACAAAAATGCTGCAGGTTCCCCATCCACCAGCCAAGTTAGCAGGGTGAGGGCTACTTGCATACCTGCAATTCTGCACGTTCCCGAATCTGATTAGCACAGAAAATGCAGAAGACCAGAAAGCATCTTTCCCATGTTTAACTATGTACATTTAACACCAATTCAGATTTCACCTCCGTGCATTATCTATATCAAGGGCGGATAAGGTAAGGAAGACAGAGACTGGCATCAGCTACTTTTAAGCTTTATCCCTCCATCTTCCCTGAAACAGTGCATATAATGTGTTTGCTGTTTGCACACACATGCCTGCACAAAGCAGAGACCTGTCTCTATAGATTTGCTATAGTGTAAAATTGTAAAAGGCAACTTTCCTGCTAGTCCAGTTGGTCAAATAACTGCAGAGCCCAAAAGCAACAACCCTGAAAACATACACTCTCCCCTCCTACCCTGCTGCCTGCCTGCCTGCCTGTCTCTCTCTCTCTCCCTCTCACTAATCACTTAGGAGGAAGATAGGAAGATTATCAAGGGAGAAAAAAAATAACCAAAGCTGCAGATAACCCTTTAGGACCATAGTATAAGGTTACGTGATTTGGAGCATAAAGGTTAATGTGCAGGAATCTCAGATGCAATTTTATATCTATATGGGGAGGGGGGAGGTTGACAAGAAGATGAGGAAGAAAGAAATGGTGATGAAGATAGAAAATGAATGTGTATATCTAGGGTTGGTTTTATGATCAGCTGGAGTGCCCAGCAAGAGATTAGCGATGGAAACAGGATACAGATTTATCATCACCAAGACACTGCAATTTTTTGGTGGGGTATTTTTATCATCATCATCAGGATGGATTTTATGGAAACTACATCTGGAGAGATATGAGTTCATTCAGTAATATGAAGAATAAAGGTAATGTCCACACACAAAAAAGATAGATACCTTCAGCAGTTGTGTTATTTTAAAGATTTAGAGGGGAAAATAAAATAAAAGTCACTTTCGTTTCAAGACTATATGATGCTCACATCCCATCCATATATTCCAATGGTTGCCATGGGGTTTGTGGAGAGGAGAAGAACGAATGAGGAGGGGGGGGTCATAATCAATCATCTCAGAAGAGCATTTCTCCTTACAGAGAAAGATCTGGATTTTGACTGTGTCCCTAAGAAAATTGCAGACTGCAGAGCTGCTGCCATGCAGGGCAGCGAGGAAGCAGGCAGAGCAGAGGCAGCAGCTGGGGATGGAAACGCCTATTAAATCCTTTAGACAACAGATGGGCAAAGCTTGGCTGGGTTTTTAAAAAACACAATGCATCATGTTTTATTGTCCCACCATAATGAACAACACTTAACACCCACAAGCCCAAAGAAGCCCCCTATGGCTGATTCCACCAACCCTCCCTTCTAAATTATAACCTGGAGACTCAATCCACTTTTGGGGGTCCCCCAACCAAATCAATTTGCCAGACTCCATTGCTCATTGCACCTGTTACTAAAAAAGAACATAAAAATGGGAAAGGCTTTGGGGATTTTTTTTTAACCGCTCTTCCTTCCAATTACTGCTCCCCTGTCCTTGAAGTAAATATAACATCCAGGCAGGCAACCAGCGAGTCCAAATCTTGAATGCATTTAGGAGATCTAATTATGCCACGTAGGGGACAAGCACCTGCTCTCTGCTAATTCTCTCACTACGTTTCCTCTTAATATTTCTTACCATTGTTCCTTTCAGGAAAATCTGATGGGGGCCAGTTTCACAAACAGGGGCTTTTGGAAAATTAAATAAATAAATAAAAACCTCAAACCGCTAGAGTGAATTCTGCTGCTGACCACTTTTTTATTTTTAAATTCAAACTATGCCACGCAAAAACATACCAAACAACACCATCCATTCATATTTTCCAAATAACCACAGCAGCCAGTGCCATAGACTGTACTGTGCATATTCTCTCCCACCAACTGCACCTTAAGGACTACACCCTTTTCAATCATGATGTCATGAAATACTGCTGGTGACTCCCCCGCCTCCCCACCACGTCCTTTTCCTCCTCCTCTCCAGCATACACAGTGCACCTCTCATTTCAATTTAATTTGATTAAAAAGAAAAGGAAGCAAAGTGGGGCAGTGAAGTAACTGACATGAAATTTACCAGCAGCAGGGCATCCCCGATTTCCTCTGCATGCACTTTGACAGTCACCAGAACAACACCCGTTAGCAAGAGGGATGCACACACGGCAACCTATGCTTTTTTTAAAATAAATAAATAAATAAATAAAAACAACCGGAAATAAATAAATAAATGCAAAAATCCATTAGAAATAGTCTCTCCACTGCAGCAGCCAAAGGGAAAACCCATCCCCTCACATCTCCCATCCCCATCAGCTGCTACCGCACCTTATCCCTAGTGCGGCTGCTGCAAAGGAACCAACCTGTCTGTCCTTTGCCCAAGGTTTTCTCCAAGCGATAGGGTCCAACATATTGTGCATGTTGAGCTCCGCTGCCTTCTTTCCCCGTTGATGTCATTTCTACCTGGCTCTATAATTCTGCGCTGTGTGTGTGGCGGGGAGCTGGGATTTCTCTCTCTGCAGTTCTTTAAATTCCCACTTTGCAGCTGTGTAAGCAAAGCACCCTTTCTCCCTCGCTCTTTGCTGCTTTAGTCCACTTGACTGCAGATTTTCTCTTCTTCCTTTTTCCTTGTCTGCCTCTTTCTGTCAGTCTGTCAGCGTGGGATGCTGAGGGCCAGAGCAGCTATTACCAGTGTTCAAAGAGGGGGATCTAGGATCCAAGCCCAAGGAGCATGGTGCTGGTGATCGGAGCTCTGCACGCCTTGTTCTCACTATGAGCTGTTCAAGGGAGAGCTAGAGCGAGAGCAGCGGAAGAGCTGGGGCCCAGAGATCTGAGTGACAACACAGGCAGCCAATCTCCAGCAACAACTCAGTTCCCCTCTCCTCCTCCCCTCACTACCTTTCCTTTTCCATCAGTATCAGCAGCAGTTGCTGCCCCTGTCTGATACAGAGCATCATAATCAATGGCAATATCAATAAACCCATGGCTATCAGTCTATTGATAAGGAAAATAATTAAAGATAAAAAGGGATAAAGTTATTTTAAAAATCATACGCACACACATATACATCTTTCTCTAAATTACCCACCACTAGGCACCTGCCACTGCAATTCACCGACCAAAAGCGACAATTAAAATAATGCTGAGGTTGTGGCATTATTTATAAGAGGAAAGAAATCTACTTTGGAAAACAAGCTTGTAAGATTTATGGATGCTGGTTCTATGGGAAGTATTTCTATTCTTTTTGTTCTGTAAGGAGTCTTTCAGAAACAATGACTATTATGAAAAACAGGACCTGATCAGGCTCCCAATGAACTCAGGGGAGGGTTTGCTTTGGACTTCAGTGGGGGAACATGTAGGACTGAATGTACAGACCAATAAATAAATAAATAGATCCAGCATAACTGGTACTTCAGTTGGTAATTACAACTGAAATGCCAAGGGTGAAACTTGGAACCATGGAAACTTTTAAGCTCTACAGGTGATCTCTCTAGGGCTGTGACACAAGGGTAGGGTAATATAGGGAAGGCTTGTACTTCTGCAGGCCGTGCTGTATCTGTTCTGCAAAGAGGTGCCCTGATTCAGCAAGGTACTTAAGCATGTGTGTAACTTTAAGCACGTGAGTAGTCTCAGCTAAGTCAATGCGATTACTTATGTGCTTAAAGTTAGACACATGCTTAGGTACCTTGTGGATTCAGGACTGTATAAAGGACTTCAGTGTCCAGGACTATCAAGGTAACCCCTTTCAACGCCAATGAAATTCACCCCAAGCCCCCATTTTTACTTTCTCTTCATAGGTAGGCCCCATTGTCCATCCCGGAGTGCACCGTGGTTGCAGTGCCCTCATCTGAATGCCTGCAGAAGTGTTGCACACAGCAAGGACTCCTCACTCACAAAGGAAGCGCTTGGTAAACCTGCAAAAGGAAGAAAAAATAAAGAAAAAGCAGTAAGTAAAGAGACTGTCACTAACTATATCAGTATTCACTGCTCATGGGGATACAAATATTTTTTAAACTAAAAATGTTGGAGATAATGCCTAAAGGAGAAATGTACTTTACAGTAAGTCATCCAACACCTATGTATAAATGGGTGTAAAGTCCATGGAAGATCCCTTCTGTGGACCACATCCACAGATGGTGTAAACTGGTTTTAGGCACTAGGCAATGGAGTAATTTTGCCCCCAAAATTGCAGGAGAGAGATGAGGGGAGGAACAGAGAAACTTTGAGGCTATCTATCTGAATGCAACCCCAAAAAGGTCCCAATATAATTTCCTTTCTCCCCAAAAAACATGACTTCAACACTTACGTTGACCTTCTCCTGCCTCTCTTTGTACGGTGCTAGCTTGTTCTAGCTACTGTGCTATATTGCTGCAGCAACCTTCAGTGTGTTGAGTTTCCAACCCTTCCACAAAGTCCCCCAGTCTCTCCTCTTTCCCCTTTCCCCTCTCCCTTCCAGATTTCATAGTATGTGAAACCTTCCCAGGCTCCCCCACTGCCCACGAACTCCTGCAGTAACTTCTCTCCTTCTCCCAAGACTTTTCTTCCCGCAAATGCCAGTCTCATCTCTCCAAGAACCCGTTCATTCTCACCCAGTCCTAAATTTGCCTCATCCTCTCCCTCACCTCCAAGCCCCTCATTCACTCTTCCCCAAACTTCCTCCCCTCTTTTCCCTTTCCCCAAATTTCCCTCACAGCTGCCTCTTAGTGCCTGTCCTCCAGTAACTGTCCCTTCTTCCCAGGGCCCCCGCATAGCTGTGCCCCCTTGTCCGTTCCTCCACAGCAGTGCCCCCTTGTCTCTGCCCCCTTATCCCTCCTCCCACAGCAGTGCCCCTTCCCCCTCCCCCCCACAGCAATGCCCCTTGTCCCTTCCCCGTTTCCCCTTCCCCCACAGCAGTGCCCCTCCCCCTCCCCCTCCCCTCACAGCAGTGCCCCTTTTCCCCTGCCCCTTCACCCTCCCCCACACAGTAATGTTCCCTTGTTCGTGCCCCTCTCCCCACAGCAGTGTCCCTTGTCCCTGCCCCCCATGTTCCTGTAACCCTACCTGGGGGATGCAGGGTAAGAGAAGCTGCTGCCCCAGCCAGACCACCTCCCTCCAGCCTGGGCCAGACACCTGCTGCTCCCCAGACCCTCACTCAGAGCCAGCCAGGGAGAGACCCAGGCGTGGGAGGAGCAGAACCAGCTACCGACAGGAGTCACAGCTGCAGCTCAGACCGGGGGGAGGAGGGCATGGGGCAGAGCAGTGCCTGCGGACAGGGAGCCTCTGGGGCATCTCCGCTGCCTATTGAGTCCAAGAGCGGATCAGCAGGGGGCAGTGGGAGGGAGGCCGCCATTCTCAGCCTTGGCTGCCCCAAGCAGCCTGTACTCCCCTCTCGGACCCCTCCACTGCCTCTTCTCCCCCAGCCAAAGTCATGAATGGGGAGGCTGTTGTCTCCAAGCTGAAAGTGTATGGAGTTTGAGGGGGGGGGAAGATTTCGTCCCCTATAATTAGGCCCACCGAGGCAGGTAGGGTTTGCACTTCTCTTACACGATTGTAGCTACACGGACTCCTGATTTAAGTAAGTTTTAGACCAGAATCAGCTCCCAGGACCCAGAAACAGCTGAGTTATAACCAGCCCATAAAAAATCTAATCCAGGTTATACACAAGACCCAACTGCACACTGCAACCAGCAATATTACCAGCCACAAGCATTTAAAAATTGAAAGGCAGTACCCAAAAAATCCTGAGACTGCCTTAAAAATAAAAAACCTTAAAATGAAATGTACAGTTTGTGCTCTTTTTATTTGCTTTTTGTATTTTGAGTCTTTTGGGCTCACATTTCCAATCTTTTATCCACAACCACGAGGGCTAGAAACGTACTTTAAAAAGAATAAAAGCTGAGATTCTAATAATCACATGACCTCGGAAGCTAGGAATATAAGAAAAATACAAAATATATTAAAACATGGAAAAATAATGAGCTGGCAACACTAGACCAGGCGTTGCGAGTTTTGCTTTAGTTCTGCGTAGACATCCTTTTACTTTAGTTCTGAGTAGACAGAAGGAATACATCAATACAAATTGTTAGTTCTTCGCTTTAAATACCCAGGCCAGATCCTCAGCTACATTCAGCACAACTAAGGGGGGTGCGCAAAGTGGTTGGAGCCATCCAGCCAGCAATTGAGCCATCAGTGCTATTTAGAGCAATTTCAAGGCTGCTCTATATTATGCCTGGCTGCAATGGCCTCTTGGGGTATGTCTACATGCACACTAAGTCTGTGCTCTGGCTCTGGTTTAAGACCAGGCCCCCCCTTCTGTTCACACAGAAATCAGTCTGACTCGGGCCAGGAACCCCTTTGAATTCTGGATCACAGACCCTGCAAGGAGGATGAATCAGAGCTGTATCCTGCTGTGATGTGGGTCAAAGCCCATGAATTTTGCAGTATGGATGCAGCTAGAGTCCAGGTCACCCGATGTGGGTGCGAAGAGTCTGCCCATGCTATCCCATAATTCCCTGGGCTGTGCTTCCCATCTCTTCCATCTCAAAATTCCCACTTGCTTTCCAGGGACCAGAAACAACCTTCAGGTTCAAATGCAGCTCCTCAGCATTTAACCCTTCATTTCCATACAGACTGCTCAACTGGAAAAACAGTTAACCCTCCCATGTATTAGCTATGGCCAGCACTAAGAAAAAGTCCTGCATCAAGTGTGCTGCTAGTTGGCGAGAGGAACACAGACAGATTCTGGTGAACCTATGGTGCGAAGCAAGCAAAACTTTCAATTTCAGTAAGAGCATGAGAAATGATCATGTCTACAAAGTTATATCTGAGCAGTGTTGGGGATTGACTAGAACAGCAGAACAATGCAAACAGCAAATCGAGCGGCTGAAGACAAACTACAGCAAAGTCAAAGATTCTAATGGCACCTCAGGAACTCCCTGTCTTCCTGCCTCCTTTATGAGGAATTCTGTAGTGAGCACTGAGCTCACTGTGGTGCATGCTATGTTGCCAGAGTGGCTACTACACAACCTAGGTCTGCCCTCAGAGAGCTGTTTGGGGACAGCCCTGAGGAGCAGCCCGCTGCAGAACCAGCATCAGAGTAAGTGCTAAAGGCAGATCCAGATAAATGTCTGCCACTGTGTTTGTTGTTATTAATTTATGCCTAGGAGGGATTTTCAGCTTGTGTTATTAATACAAGCCGGGGTTTTGGTATTCTTCCTTTCACCATCCCTCCCACGTCTGTAATGGAATGCCAAACTGTATTATACTATTCAGCCACTAGGTGGCACTAGGTGCGACTTACCTTACCTAAGACTAGCTCAGCCATACTTGGGGGGTGTATTAAAGGATCTCATGGAAGACACATGTCTTGTATGTGTCTGGGATGAAAGCTCTGTAACCATATCTGGTACATGACACTTCCCCTGACAGCACATGGGATTCAAAATGGACACTGCAAATAAGGAAAAACGTTAAACAAGCAGTTATCATGAAATTCTTACTAGTTTCTTGCTGATTGTTGTAAGTCTGGATTGGGGCTCCACCATTAACTGCCTCATGTACCCCTCCTATCTTATACAGCTCACCTTAAAAATCGGCCATGCCTGCACTGTCCTAGACCATCTGCAAACTGAGTCCCCAAAAAACTGGCTGTTATGAGTCCAAACCATTGCAGGCTTAAATATGAGTCCAAATTACTATAGAGAGTGGCTGGCAGGCAGTGTTAGGAGTTGCTATGGCTGGCGGTCTATTGAGACTGTGCATGGACGCAGGGTACTTGTGAAGAGACTGTACTGCATCTCCATGATAAATCAGCATCCTGTTGAT